AGATTTGCAGGTAACTCTTGGAATAGGAGTTATTTGAACTGTATTTTCAAACCAAATATGATAAAGTAATATTTATATCAACAGCTTTAAAAAAAAGAGCAAAATTTTCTCCAGTTCTTTCAATCGATGCAAAAATAGTGACATACCCAACTTACTTAAAATTTTGAAAAAATTGCCATTGTTAACTTCTCTCCCTTCCTGTAAATTTCAATTATTTTAAAATTAAAGGTAAGCTTTCAAAAATCAATATGGATAATCTTTTTAAACATATTCCATAGGAAATTCAAAGGAACTTGGAACAACAGTTTAGGCCACGTGTACAGAATACAATATATTCTAGAAAACCAATTGTGATGATAAAGCCAAATTTTTCAGAACATATAATTGAGAAGCGATTACATAAAGACATGATACATGGTTTTTATAATAGTCTACAGGATTCTTTTACAGCATTTAATTAAGATTTAGTTATCTTAATTTAGCTTAAAGAGTTTATTATAATCTGTAACACAAACAAAAATGCCTCATGAAAGTATTATGTGATGTTATTACCAGCAACCAATGAACTCTTCTCTCCACATTTTATCTATCCGAGACATATCTCTCATTTGTTATTACAACTTCCCAGATCAAGACAAAAGATCATAGATTAAATATTTTTTTTCATTTTTCAGCTGCCACTATAAGGCTACTCCAAGACTATTTTGTCCTGAGGGATGGAAAGCTAATAGCTTTGAAATGCTCATTCTCTTTCTTCCTTATTATATAACTATCACTGAATTTACTACATTAGGATTCTAAGCAAAGACACAAAGATATTGTTAGAGAGGTATAATTCCAATAATTGTCAAGTACTAAAACATTTGTTTAAAATACTGTAATTAAACCCAGCTACATAAGACCAGCAACAATCTTTATAGCCAACATTATTACATAAGTATTGAATCTCCACATGGAAAAGAAATCTAAACAAAAATTTTGTATTACAAAACTTCTATTTAGTATAACCTTATTTGCAGTGATTCAAACTATAACAAATACAAAAGCAGACTAGGGTTTTCTGAAACACAATTTAGAGAAAAGATTTAAAATTTAATTACATTTAAATTTTTTGATACTACAGTATTTTAGAACTGCCTTTCCAAGTACTGTATACAAGTTTTCCTATAAATAGGAAAATCTATTGTTCGGGAATGAAATTCTAGACAAAATGTTATCTAAAGTTTGTATTCATAGCAATTAAATGTTGTACCTTTAATTTAGTAATCTACAAAAATGGCACATAATACCAATATTTTATTCTTTGTATTAAAGAGAATACAAATCTTTATCTACACAGACCAGATTCAAATGTGGACAATTATAAATTCTTCTCCTGATGTAAAAGTGATCACCAATTTTTTAAAAAAAGAATGAGAACAAAAATTGTTTTCAAACTTTCCTGCAGCTATTTTCATTCTTGTGGGAAGCTGTCAGCTTAATATTAAAAGTATTACAGATAACTCATTTTAGATCAGGTGTGTTCAATATAGTAATATCCATTTCTGACACCATAAGGACTACTGATTTTATTTAGGCACCTGTTTAATCTATAGAGCTGTTTTTTTTTTTACTTTTCTTCTAGTCTGTAAAAACTATTACAAGGATGAACTCTCTTCAGATTCTGCTATCAGTAGGAACAGCTAATGAAGACCTCAAAAGCAACACAAATTTCTAGAGTCTCTTGATCTCTGTTGCACTAAATTTGAAAGAGCAGCAAGATGGACTATATGGATCTCACAGGAACTAGTCAATGGTTTAGACATTTAGGAATTCCTAGATGGTTAGCTGCTATAGTAAAATTTTATCTTTCAGACATACTAACTAGGGGAACACAAAAGGAATTCAGAAATCTGCTGCATGGGAACTGTTCCACTCCCTAAATAGCTCCTCCCAGTCAGTATGAAAATCCAATCCCTTACTAAAGTATTACAAAGTATTACAAAGTATTAATTAATAATACAAAGTATTAAGCTGAATACAGGCCAACACTAACGTGTATCAACAATACAAAGCTTCTATATTGTTCTTATGAAGGAAAAGTAGTTATACTGAAAATTGGCTCAGCTTCCTTTCATTCCACCTCCTCCAAGAACTGTCAGTCTGTTCTTGTGTGTCCTTAGAAGTATAAATCATGATATAATTTATAAATTCATGTGCAAAACTCATTATAAAATTATATTTCTTTATCACTGTGCCATATATACTTTTTTAAAAACTTAAAATCACTTTTTCCTCAGATAAACTGGAATAAAATCAATGCAAAATTTATGTAAATATACCACAATGCAGGGGCACAGATTAAATTTAATTTCAGTTGAGCTTGACTCCTGGTGACCTCATGAATAATATCCATGAAGTTTTCTCAACTAAACTCTAGGTCTTCGGCCTACTTGTTTTTTCTTTTAACTTCCCATTCTAGCCTACCATCTTGTACTTATCAATGACCTCTCATCCAAGTATTAAGCAAGCCTGACCCTGATTAACTTGAGCCCAAATATGGTCAGCCAGGTTCACAGAATTTCATAAACCAGAATTAGACCTGCTACGTCAATCGTGAAGTACATTAGGTTAGCAAATATGTTGCCAATTTGTTTTCCTTTATTTCAGGCCCATTTTAAAAAGCAATGTTTTGAAATATGTTCTATTCTTGTATTTATTTGCCTCATTATTTATAAGCTCTTAATTTTTGTTTACAAAAAGCATCCAAGAATATACCTAAATATTAACTACCACCAATAGGTAGCAATACAAAGTCAATATCTATGGAGATTCTCAGTCATCCGGGTCATAGTTGTCCCAAAGGTGCTTTTTCAAAAGGCAACTGAACTTTGTTTTTCCTTGAAGACATTTTGTTTCTCATCCAAGAAGCTTCTCCACTTCTGAAGTGAGAACTGAAGAAGCTTCTTGGATGAGACATGAAATGACTTCAAGGAAAAACAAAGTCAAATTGCCTTTTGAAAAAATACCTTTGGTACGACAAAGTCAATAGGGAAGATGGCAGGAGATTGCCAATGGTAATGCCAATTGGAACTGCCATAATTTGGTGCAGTCACATGACATTGGGCCTTACAATGGTACTTAGAGGAGGAGTTCCTGGTCTCAATTACCACTGGTAAGCAAGGACTGCCTGTATGGATTCTTTTCATACACATTTTCATTAAATAAAGCTGACCTCCCACTCATTAACAAAGCAAGGTTCTCCATGCAATTAACTACCAACAGAATTCACAGACAACCACACCCCCCTCCTTTTAATATATTCCCAAGTAGGTAATTTTTGCAGCAAGAAGTGGCAAAGAGCAATAAGCCAAATGTTAAAGTAAGGCAAACAAGTTTTTGTAAGCGTATACTAAAAACCACCTGGAATATTAAGATTCAGAGATAGCATGCCACTAAATATGAACTGTTGGGAAGCAACAGAGAAGGATGGCTGTTTACTTCCTACCTACAGGTTTTCTAGAAGCATTTAGAAACAGAATATAATAATATAATAATAATAATAAAAGTTATTATTGGAGGTCATCTAGTCCAACCCCCTGCTCAGGCAGGAAACCCTATACCATTTCGGACAAATGGCTGTCCAGTTTCTTCTTAAAAACTTCCAGTGTTGGGGCATTCACCGCTTCTGGAGGCAGGTTGTTCCACTGGTTAATTGTTCTAACTGTCAGGAAGTTTCTCCTTAGTTCTAGGTTGCTTCTCTCCTTGATTAGTTTCCATCCGTCGCTTCTTGTCCTGCCTTCAGGCGCTTTGGAAAATCGCTTGACTCCCTCTTCTTTGTGGCAGCCCGAGATACTGGAACACTGTTATCATGTCCCCCCCTCGTCCTTCTCTTTGTTAAACTAGACATACCCAATTCCAGCAACCGTTCCTTATATGTTTTAGCCTCCAGTCCCCTAATCATCTTTGTTGCTCTTCTCTGTACTCTTTCTAGAGTCTCAACATGTTTTTTACATCATGGTGACCAAAACTGGATGCAGTATTCCAAGTGTGGCCTTACCAAGTATTGAACTAAATAAAGCTTTCATCACAGTTCTTTATATCATCCAGCACTTGAAAGTAAGCAGCATTAAGACAGGGGCAAGAGAGACTCCAAAATTGGTGAACGGGCGATTCAAGAAGCAAGAAATGGCATCTGAAATTCACCGAATTCAAATCCTCCCCCCCACACAATTCTTGCTGCATCTCCTTGCAAGCCACACACATACAATTCATCTTTCCCTTTTCTCCCAGAGGAAGTTCACACAAGAGCAGGGTTAAAACTTTACAGCCACTGTCCAGTTAGTCTGTAATCCCATGCCCTTCTCCGAAGTACTTGCAGCATCTGAATGTAATACTGAAAGATGATTAACAGGCTACTGGAAACTGATATGGTAACACTTCAGCATCAACCCGCTTCCCTCCATTTGTACCAACTTATTGATAGAAAGTCTGGAATTTCTCCCTAAAAGTGCGCAAAAAAAAAAAAAAAGAGGAAGCGCATGCGCCATAGGAAACACAACTCAGTGACTCACCCCCTCAATCCACTCTTCCCTTTAGCCTTATTTTCGCCGCGCATGCGCAAAAAACCCAAACACCCCCCCACCTCCTGTTATATTACTCTTACCACCATATACCAGGTCCCCAAAATGATAGTACCGGTGCGGACATGACAACAACCACAGCAGCGAGTACTGTAGAAACGATCTCGGCTCCGCTTGAACGTCATTGTTCTATTGGGGGGGGCGGCGAACCTTCCTCTTCCTCGTCAAACTAAACGCCGAATGAGACGATTTTCCCCCTCCGCAGTTAGCGCGAGGGCCGCGGCGGCGCCTGCGTCTCACAGAAATTCTAACCAATCAACCGACGCAGAAGGAAGCACGGCGCGGGGGGGGGAGTTCCCTCTCAACTTGCAAGGCGGGACAAAAGATTATTGTTACCATAGCCAGCCAATGAAAAAGCACTCATCTGTTTAGTCCCTACTGTGCTTCACCCCTAGCGAAAGGGCGATCGTGTCCTGGGACGTGGCTGGATGGTATGCTGCTTTATGTCTGCGTGATGAGCCTCTTCATAGCTTCCACGTTTGTGGTTTGGGCTTGACTCAAGCCTCTCTGAAAACAAAAGCCGTTGCTTTTGCTTTCTGTAACTTAGGGCTACCAGATCTCAGCTTTAATCTTCCGGGCGATCTGGAATTGCTGCCATGTGATTACGCTAACCTTTATCTGGTGACGCTGCAAGAACGCTACCGGAAATGATGCTATTTGATTGATTTTATTTGATTGATTTAATCGAATCAATGCTTCCGAAAGCTGGACAAATTACCCCAAATTGGGTAAAGATGATTTCCCCCCCCCTTGGGGTAACAACATACGAACCCATTGATTACCCAATCACAACTGGGATATTTAAATTGGCTTAAAATGTTTTTCCTACATTGGAGTAAAAAGGACTTTCTGAAAGCAGTTTTGGGTAATGAAGGGAAAAGTCTGGGAAGCACTGATTTAAACTTATGATTTTCGTGTTCTGTTGGTGGGGTTATCTTATTAAAAAAATTATGATTAAGTTTCTCTTTTCCACGTCTTTTTCATATGGCATTAACTTGCTACTCCTGCAAAAACTAAAACGTTATTGGAAGTGGGGGTTATGCTTAAGGGTGCAGATCATTTTATAACATGGGCCTGTTTTAAGTGTGAGCCATCAGAAGACTAATGTCCTGGCATTTTACCCATAGCAGACTTATTTTTTTAATCTTACTTTCCCAACTCTGCAAAGAGAAAGTTGTGTGTTGATGTGGCTCTATAGCATCCCCTAGGGGCAATAGGCTAAAAGGACTGAATAAATCAAACTCTTCTTTCCGAATATAGTAGTACCTTGGTACTCATAGTTAATTGATTCCAGGAGGTGTAACGAGTACCAAAAACGATGAGTACTAAACAGATTTTTCCCATAAGGAATAATATAGTGAATCATATCACCAAGTTCTAGCTTGTGCACTGAGTACCAAAAAATGAGTACTGGGACAAAAATTTTGCCTCAAAATGCATCAAGTACCAAACTTGATGAGTTTCAAAGCAGTTGAGTACCAAGGTACCACTGTATCAGACATCAGCTGCTTTCATCCAATCCTATCCAATCCTATCCAGCTTCCTAAATATTTAGTCAAATCACTGAGCTGTCCCCTAAATATTTTTTTTTTAATGCTGTGAAAAAGAAAAGCAGCCAGAAGAGGGCAGGTCCACTTGGCATTAAAACAGGAAAGCAAGAGGATCTGTCCTATCAATTTTTTTATTTTTTTTTATCCTGCTTTATTATTTTTTACAGGGTTGGGCTGAGAGAGACTGACTGGCCCAAAGTCACCCAGCCAGCTTTCATGCTTAAGGTGAGACTAGAACTCATCTCCTGGGTTCAAGCCTGGTGCCAAACTGGCTCTCTTTTTCCCCTGCAATTAAATAACTGTTTTTGTTATGAAAACCAAGGATTTGTTCATGTGGGTAACATTTGTTTCATTTTGAATTATGGCTTTAATTGTTGCCTATCCTTGTTCTTTATTTTTTCTTTTCCCAAAGTAATTCTATAGCTAGACATTTTTATATTGTTCTCAAAGGAAAAAAAATCATTAAAATCTTAGTGCATGGTCACCCATATACCCTTCACACTCTCAAGTTTATGGTTTTGTAAAAACTTTGGAGATATATTTCAGGAAGCTATTAAATTGCTTATCTGCTCACCCTAGAGGCATCAGGGAGCTACATCCACTTAAAATTTTGGTGGAACCATTCAGGCTCTGATATTGTCTCTGCAGGTATATGCAGAAGTAGACTCTTCCGAACATATTACCATTGAAGAGAAATGGGAAAAGAATGGGAAGAAAATAAGCCAAAGATGTAACTACAAGAATTAGATCTTGGCTGAATCATTGACTGAGCACAGTTCAGTGAGAGATAGATAGCCAAACTAAATTAATGAAGACATGTTTCTCTGCCACCTGAAATTAAAAGGAAGGAAGAGAAAATAAGATGCTTGACCATAAGTAAGCCAATAAAATAAGCTGTCCTGTTGCATCATTCCTCCTGCTTGCAGCCGGTTAATATGAACAGCTCATGCTAACTGTGGATTCTGTCTCCCTAACTACAGGACCCAGGTAGATGTATTCCCAATAATTGGTTAGTTTAGCTTTGTACGGTAACAGCAATGACATGATTCAGGAGGCTGCTATGAAGTGCTTCTGTAGTGAACTACATGCACAATAAATATAAATCTTACATAGGCTAAATTTAACTCATATACAGTGTATTCATGATTGAATTAAAAATCAGTTTTTGTACTCCCTATTTCTTAGTGGGTGGTGCAGTGGCTCAGCAATTAAGATGCTTTGTCAGCTGGAAAGTCGACAGCCTGGGTTTGAGACCCAAGTATCATAGGACCAGATGAGATTTCATTCTCCCCTAGCAGTTCAAACCTAGCAGTTTGAAAGCATGCAAATGCAAATAGATAAATAGCTATTCTTTGGTGGGAAAGGTTACTGCATTTGATGTTTTCATGCTGGCCACAGGATGATGGAAATGTCTTTCAGACAACACAGGCTCCCTTGGCTGAGAATCGGAGATGAGCACCGTCCCCTTGAGTTGATCACAACTGGACAGGGAAACTGTTAATTCTCTATATTTCTTGCACTTTGATCTTCAAACTACAGTTTATAGGTTGGCAATTACTGCTATTGCTGTGTCATTTGGAATAAAAAGTTATCTGCAATAATATTCAATGTTAATGAAATAGAGTTACACTTGGACTGGTTTACCTCAAACTTTGCAGTCATTATTTACTTGTCATTAAACTAAAGGAATTTGGGGATCGGCAATTTTTTAAATCAAAATAGATTATTTGTGCTTTTCACTTCAGCATTTTTGTAACATTGATTCTAATAAAGATACCCTATTCACTTCAAAAGTTATCCCGAGTTTATGACAGATTACCCATGGGAGTTTCATAGGCAGTGTCTTGAAATTCAAGACCAGCTTTTTAAAATCTTGGCCTGACCGTCAGAGGTTTGGAATGTACACAATATGCAAAGTTCAGAAAACTGTCAGCAGCTGTGTTTATTACAGAAAAAAGGATGCAAGCAGACAGTGCATAGATTCCAAATGTACAACGACATAAATGTCATAAGATACCAGCATCAGTTCCCTTTGAGATACATTTGGGTATAGCATGTGTGGCAGCTAAAGTTGCAGATGGCCTTACTCTTGAGAAAACTTACACTAGAATTAACCATCTGCTTAGCTGTCTCTATCATGATCAGGATATTACAGGACTTGTCCTAGCTGTCACCAGGAGTCAAGACTGACTCAAAGGTGTGTATACACACCCAGACACAGAAGGAAAAAAAGAGCAGGTTTAAAACTCCAATATTCCATCCTCAGTCAACCAGATTGCCTCAAGATTCCTTCTCTTTAACAATGAGGCTTCCCCAGTTCTGCTGCTGCTCCTGAAAGCACAATTTTGCCTAGCAATAGAAATAACCCCAGGTGCAAGAACAAGGATCTGCCCAAGCTTCCCCAAACTCATTAGCCAATCAGATGCCTAAGATTTTCCTCCTTGCAGTCTCAACAGCTACAAAAACCTTTGCTTCCCCATTGTTCAGGGTATCTCTTTCTTGTGGGCAACCAAGGATCTTGCAAGTGATGTGGTTCTTTCTCCTCAGTGTTGTGTTTTGTACTTCTCGATTTTCCACCACTAAGACACTCAGTGATTTTGCCACCCAGGCAAAATGGTACTCTATAATTCATATCTATTGTTTCTGTTCCTGTTGTGTTCTCTCTCTCTCCCTCCCTCCCTCCCTCTCTCTCTCAAATATGGCTTCTGCACAGTGATGGCTTGTATTGTATTTACTTACTCCACATGAAACAACTGCTTTACAAAAAGGGACTAGTATGAATCTTCAGGTTCTCCTTTTCCCGTAACATACCCTACGCAATGCCGATACTGTGTTTCATCCTATCAGCTTCAGTATCTGTGTAATTATTTTTAGCTATAGTTGATAAAAACAAACTTCATACTTATAAAGCTGGCTTGTTTTCCCTTATTACAGTTAAAATTACTCAACTGAACTGCTTAATTTAAAGAGAAAATAGTTTTTTCCCCATCTTCTCAAGTCTACTCTAAGGCAGGTCACAGAGTCTAGGGGGATTTCTAGATCCATTCTTGTAAAATTAAGCTGCATCTTAATATACATACAAATGTAACCACTGAGTATTATCCAATTTGTTCCTCCTTTTCTTAGTTATACCCCTAATTTAGCTAGCAAAGTCTAGTTGCAAAAAAAATATTCCAGTTTGAAGAAAACAAGATACTTCCGCGAGTCCTTTCAGTGCCACTCTGCCTAGGCAACTGTAGTAATTAGAGATTATATTAAAAGGGACCCAAGTATGACCTTTCTAAACTAAACTTGTGCAAACATCTGCTACCCCCCTTCCATTTGTACAATTAAATGCTGGCTCCTGGTGATATACAAGATTTATCAAGATAACATTCTCAGAGCCATAAATTCTTCCAGAGCCAGTTGCTTTTGTTAATCAGAGCAATTAGCACCAGCTTCTCAGTGATTCATCTGCTCTTGCTAGAAACTTTTGTCAATCAAAAGGAAATAACCTTCATTGCCGTTTTATTTATTTTATATTTTTCCCCAAGATATAATCACCTGAACTAATAAGACTGTTATTTCAGGGCAGAAACCTTTTAGCAGATGACAAAGAAAATCTCTAACTTGAGCTTGCTCTTGGCCTGCCCCAGTGCACTTTCTCATCACTATCCATAATGAAAGTCAATCAAAGAGAGTTTTCTTTCTCCCTTGCCAGTATTTTGGGTTTTTCCTAGAAAGAAACTTCTCCAAGTTCCATAAAGTCAGGCTGCTCCTCCCCTCCCCACTGGACTTGAGCCCAGCCAAAGTGATCTCATGTAGGAAACAGCCTGTCAGGGTCCCCCATTGAGCTGGACATGTAATATAACCAGGGCTTTTTTTTGTCATAGAACGCCCAGAACGGAGTTTCAGCACCTTTTTGGGATGGAATCTTGTAGGGTAGGCAAGGCGGGTTGTATGACGTGTATGAGTTCCGGCACCTTTTTTTTTTTTTTTTTTTTTTACAAAAAAAGCACTGAATATAACCCCAAATGAAGGAAATATATGAGGTGCATTGGCTGCTTGGACTTTAGAAGCCCAGTTTTTCATGCTTCTTGAAGCAGCTCTGCTGATTTAGGTTTCATAGGTTGGAAGAGCCAGCTAGTTTCACCTGAATAGTTGGATCCAGAATCAGACAAAGGAGCAGTTTCTTTAATACTCACCCCTTGAACTAGTCTGAGTCCTCAGCAATAGGAGAACTAAGGAACTCACTGAGTAAATGCAGCTGGAGAGCACTAGTGAAGAAGTGTTCCTATGACTTCTTATCTTTCTTCCTTTCCGAGTATGAGTGGGGGGATCCATTTAATACTGACCTTTAAGGGCTCGACATTTGTGCATAAGCTGCCAAGGAAAGATGTCTCTTATCTCCATCACAATATTTCTTGTATCCAGAAACATTCAATTTCGTTCCCTATTTCCATACTGGTTTTGTATATACTATATATGTCAATGTCCATCTTATAAGTTCTCCCAATTCACTCTGTCCATCTGCTGTTCAATTCTGAGACATACAAGTGACTGTTTTTTAAAATTACAAATTCATCCAAAGAAAATGCAGGCATTTTATTCTTCCTTCCTTAAAAGTTTCAGATTACTCTAAATAATGCCACCTGGTGGGCATCTGAAGACAAAATGTGCAAGGAGAAAATTTATGCTTTGTCACTGGTATCACCATATAATCTCAGACATAAATTAGACGCATCTACTTTTTTTTCTTCACTCCTCTTGCTCCACATGCTCTTTCAGCAGTTTTGTTTCTCTCTAACTTCTTAGAAAATCAAGAGGCCTCGGGATCCGGGCACAGCAGAGCCACCCACACACCTCAGTGGAGCAATTAAGTCCAGAACATTGACCACCTTCATATTCTACAGATTAACCAGATATGAGTCAGAACTCTCTGCTAAATTGTCATCTGGATTTGTTAGACACCCGAGGCCAATCTAATCGATCCACTGCCCTTGAAGGAGGTCAAGGCTACTGAGATCCATAATCTGATGAGAAAACGAACTGACCATGGCAAAAGATAAAAGTTAATTCCTCTACCTTCAGATCGCATTTCACCTGCTGTAAAATAAAAGCCAATTCAAGTCTGTACCCTCCCCCATTTATTGGGACTAAATTACCTACGACAAATGCATGTGTCACCATAGGGGTCATAAACTCCTCTACTAAGGAAGAAGAATCCTCCTCTACTAAATTGAAGTCACCCAGAAATAAACGATTTGGGAAATCCAATAACAATTCTGAGACAAGATCCAGGAATTTATTGTTGGGCCAGGTCTCAAGTGGTCTTCTGTTTTGGAAGACATTTTAAACTGTAGATAGAATGTAGCAAATAATTTATTTTGAGTATCATTAAAAAGGGGGGGATGACACTGAAAATACATTTTATTCATTTTGCATGACATTCTATAATATGGTCTGATTTTTCTTGAGAATTCATTTGTATGGTACAGGTTTGACTTCAGAGATCTGCACTTCAAGGAGATGTTTACAGTACATATTTTCATGACTTTGCTTCACAGTGCCACAATTAGTAAAAAAAATAATAATTATACACTTTGAAAACGCTAAAGGAAAGTCTGTTCCATAAAGAATAAAATCACTCTCATTTTTTTTACTACGAAAGGAAACAAGGTACTTAGATTTAACAATCTTTATTAAGAAAACCTTTATGATGTAGGTAGTTATGCAGTTTCTATAAATCCGCTTCATACTTTTATGGCCCAGAAATTAGTATGTAAGTTGGCCTCAATTGCTGCTAGTAAATCTTAAGTCACTGTTTACAATGAAGCCCATTTTGGAGACATTCCTGAATTTGTATTTGATGTCTTCATGAGAATCTTTTCTCAAGAATGTAATGTAAACATCTATCTGCACTGTGTTATGTATAAATAAAAAAAAAAATTCTATTCATCCTCCAAAGTGAAACAATCATAGCTTGGCCCTCCATAGGTAAAATAATAATACTCTTTAAAAGTACAGTCATTGGCTGTAAAAGTTTGCCTATTATAAAGTACAGATAGTGTGTATTGAAATCTGCCAAATAAGTATAGTACACAATTTAACTTGTGAAATAAAGATGTTGTCAGATAGTTAACTATCACTTTCAGTCTCTGACTTCTTGCATTGAGGATTAGTCCCAATGTACTTTTTAGCACCATCATTTATTTCCATGTGATCGCTGGGAAGCTCTACAACTCAAAGCAGGGTGTCAGCATAAAATACAGATAATGGTGTATGTAGTCTTTCAAAACAATTGGAATTCAAAACATTCTGTTTCAAGAATGGAATATCCATAATGCACTCAAAACTACTTTTTATATACCAAGTGAGGTGTTCTGCATTCAAACCAGTTTGTTTTTAGTTTGAAATAACCCTACCAGCCACAATGAAATGATCTGGAATCCTTTCAAATTTTATGTTTTTTAAAAGTAGGCTTTTGCTATTAAACAAGGACATATTGCGAACAGTGATTGAATTCCCAATGCAGTAAGAAACTCATTTTACTTCATTTTATTTTATTATAACATAATTTCAATTGTGTCGACAGAGGATTTGATATGCCATTTTAAAACAAATGGCAGCAAGCCCAAAACAAATAATTGGCTAATGCTGATTATGGATAAGTATCATAAGGTGGAGTTTCACCAATATGATGCTTTGAAATAAGCTACAACTCACTTCACACTGATCTGGAAGCTGTGGCAAAACCTTGACTTACAACCACAACAGGGACTAGAATTTCTGGTTGCCAAGCACCCAAATTTTGATCACATGACCATTTGCAAGGACTGGTTGTAACAAACCTTTTTTTAGTAATACTGTAACTTCAAACAATGGAAATCGGCATCTCACTATGTTTCGGATACTTCTGGATTGAAAGGATTAGCCAGCTGCTCGTTGAAAATACTAACAACTACACATAGTCCTTGACTTATGGCCACAATTGAGCCCAAAATTTCTGTTGCTAAGTGAGACATTTGTGAATGAGTTTTGCCCAATTTTACAACTTTTCTTGCCACAGTTGCTAAGTGAATCACTGCAGTTGCTAAGTTAATAACATGGTTGTTAAGTTAATCTGGTTTCCTCATCAACTTTGCTTGTCAGAAGGTCACAAAAGGTGATCACATGACCTTGGGACACTAAAACTGTCATAAATATGAATCATTTGCCAAATGTTTGAATTTTGATCACATGACCATTGAGATGGGGCAATGGTTGTAAGTCTGAAAAACAGTCATAAGTCACTTTTTTCAGTGACGTTGTAACTTTGAACAGTCACTAAACAAACTGTTGTAATCTTACCTTTTACATTCAATAAATTCCCCCCATCTCATTCTTTAAATAAACAAAACCTTCATGTCAACAATCAGATTAGTGAACCCAACAAAAGGAATCCTCAAGACAATTAAGTCCCAGCAGGCATAACTTTATTTGGGTACAGCATCTCAGAACTGAAGAAGTGAAACCAACTCTGAGGTTTCCCGTGCAAAATCTTACTTAGTTAAACATAAGATTCCCACTCCCCACCCACCAGGTGTTCACATTGTCCAATAGTAATATTTATTTTTGTTATGGGAACAGTTCACTTCTCCATCGAACACCTGCAGCAATGACCTTGGCGTGTTGCAGGTTCTCACGGTCCGTGAACAGCTTCTTGGCATTCCATTCCCTCCCCCCTTTTCTTTGGCAAAGTGATGAAGTTAACAGGCATTGTAGCAATTCAATCTTGACACTTCATCATTTAGGCCTAGTTCACATATAGCCATTAAGCATTGCCAGAAATAGCAATCCATCTATTTTAATCTTGATCAAGTGAATTAATTCTGTATTTTTCCCCTTTGTTAGAGCAATCTAGTTTCCTCAGATAGTATCCAGACTTTTCTTTTTATGCTCTCTTTGTTTTCTCTCACAAAATCTTTGGCAACTTTAACAAGCCCCTTTTGTAGATCCAGTATGAAGAGGTTATTCACATCGCTTTTCCTATTTTCATGGTCTCTTTTCCAAAATCCTTCACAGCTTTATCAAATCCCTTTGCAAATAGAAAGTTGTTCTCATCAATCTTCTGGTTTAGAATTTGTATATTTGTATATCCCTTTAAATTGTTAAAACATCAGGCAATTTGACTTGTATCGTATATCCAACAGTTCATCTTTTTGTGTATCCACTGTTTTATCTTTTTCAATCTGGTTATTTATTTTTAAATTCACATTTAGATCAATTTCAGCTTTATTTGGTAAAATGTTGTTTCTCTTCCATAACACAATCCAATTTATCACAGCAGATAACTTTCTAGTTATTTTTTGTGCCCCAAAACCATAGATAAATCTCTATAGATCCATTGATGCATTTATTTTCTTCTGGTGCTCTCTACTGATGAACTTTCAAAGTTACTTTGTCAGTTATTCAGATGTAAACACAGAAAGTATCCCATGAGAAGAATTTTAATTAACTTCAAAGTTTTAATTCAAATCCATCTAAACCCTTAATACATTTAAAACTTTCTAAAATTAACATTTCAAACATTTTTGCTGTATATTCCTAAAAAGATTTTTAAAAAAAACTTAACTTGTAATTTTTTTCTTTCTTAAAGGATTAAAGAAAAAACACAACCAATGAATAGGATAAAACTTGCAGTTCTGAAGGTTCTCAATCTTTAAAAAGAAATTTAAAAAGTAAAGAAAAGTAAAATCCAAAGTGATTAAGAAGTGAGGTTTGGTTGAACCTTGGATCCATGAAGGCTATGTTAATGATGCATGATGAAATCCTACAACTTCCAGCTGATTGCTATAAGCCACAAAACCCTGCCATCTATTCACATTAAAATATATATGGAATAGGTGCAGGCAATCTTGAAGTTCTCTCCTTTCTCCAGAGAGATTTCAGCAATCTAAATCCAGCATCTAGCTGCCATTTTCTGCCATTGTTTCTTCCTGATCTGTGCAATGTCAGTTCACCATTTCCTCATCAGAAACTCAGTGGAGGAACTCTAATTAAAGAATCCCCAAACAAATGGCCATATCCTTTATATCTTCTTTCCCCATTAGAACTTTGCCTTCTTGGTCTTTTATCATGTCCATATTTCAGTCCAGAGTTCTTTAGGCATGCTATTTATCAGATCTAATCCATTAATTATGTTCTTTACCTTCACAGAATTATAAAATGAGGTCGTGTCCTGTTAGTCTGCTAGTTTCATTTATGTTCTTATTTGATGTTTAATTTTCAATCAGAATAAAGCTGGAAGGGATCTTGGAGATCTTCTATTCCAACCCCCTGCTCAAGCAGAAGACCCTATATCATTTTAGATAGGTGGTTATCCAGTCTTTTCTTAAAAACCTCCAGTGTTGAAGCACCCACAATTTCTGAAGGCAAGCTGTTCCACTGGTTAATTGTCCTCACTGCTAGGAAGTTTCTCTTTAATTCCAAATTGCCTCTATCCTTGATTAATTTATGGCTGCATAAAGAAGTCTCTGATCAATTGAAAGATAAAAAGGACAAGTATAGAAAGTGGAAAGAGGGACAAATAACTAAGTCAGAATATCAGCAAATAGCCCAAGCCTCCAAAGGTGAAGTGAGGAAAGCTAAGGCTCAAAATGAACTAAGGCTTGCTACCAAAGTCAAAAATAACAAAACAAAACAAAACAAAACAAAGCTTCTTTCAACATGTAAAAAACAAGAAAAAAGTGAAGGAAATGATTGGTCCATTAGTGGGTGAAAATGGCAAGAAGGTGACAAGCAACAGGGAGAAAGCAGAACTTTTCTTTTTTCACATCTGTCTTTACGCAAAAGGAAAAAACAGACTAACCTATCAAAAATAGTGCCATAAAAAACAGAATAAAAATACAAGCTAAGATAGGCAAGAAAATGGTAAGTGAGTCCAGCCTAGATGAGTTCAAATCACCAGGACCAGGTGGATTATACCCCAAGGTTCTCAAGGAACTGGCAGATGTGATCTCAGAACCAATGAACTATATTTTTCAAAGATCCTGGAGCACTGGGGAACTATCAGAGGACTGGAAAAGAGCTAATGTAGTTCCCATCTTTAAAAAAGGGGAAAAAAAGGGACCCAGGAAATTACAGACCTATCAACC